ATCCATGTATATCACTTGTTAACATTTAACAGTCAAGAAATTGATTGCACGTACTCATTTGAACTGTAACAAAAACATGAAACTAAGTGTTCACTCTTCTCATTCCTTGGACACTATTTTTTTTCTAACAAAACAATGCGTGGTTCACAGGGTAAAGGTTTACTACTATATCAGCTATCTTTGTTTTTTTTAAGCAAAGAAAATTGAACCTGTTTTACAAAAATAAGTGAAACGCTATTAAATTCTATTAAATTATGTCAAATGACCATGCCTGGCTGTCGTTCATGATATTCGTGAACTCTTCAACAAGAGCCGGGAAAGATTGGTAAGACGTAGGAAGCTCCAGAATGGGAACACATTTACGAGCCACAGGGCGTCTCTGGAGCCCTTCCAATAAAGAGAGAAAAATTGTTATCGAGTCACCGGTGATCACATCACTCCCTGTGCAAAAGCGTAGAAACATAGAAAGCGCCTTCCCTTCCGGGGACTTGACAAATTTCTTCAAATAGTCGAGACTCTGACGTTCAGCATCGGTTGATGGCTCTCCTTGGAACAGTGTAATTATCTTCTTCGCTGTTGGTCGTTTACTTTCGTACGGTTGATCAAGTCCCTCGAGTGTTTGGAAGCTGTGATCAAACACTTCCGCCATGTTTTCTTCCCTCGCAGCACTGACCACTTAGCGTTCAGCGGCCTTCCGCAAAAAGTCGGGCAAAAAGTCAAGAAAAAAGTCGGGAAAAAAGTCGAGAAAAAAGTCGGGAAAAAAGTCAGGAAAAAAGACGAGAAGAAAGTCGGGAAAAAAGTCGAGAAAAAAAGTCGAGAAAAAAGTCGGCAAAAAAGTCGGAAGAAAAGTCGAGAAAAAAGTCGGGAAAAAAATGAGTACGCAGGAAAAAAGTCGGGGAAAAAAGACAGAACGCGGGCAAAACTTCAGGGGAAATTTAAACCTGGAAGTGTGAATTAATAGGGAACTTAAGCACGCACGTTTTTGAGACGCGGACGGTAACCGGAAGTGAGCTTTTTTCACTTTAAACTTGTCCTCACACAATCATATTCACATTGCTAAGTATCTTTTCTTCGTTAGAGATGAGTAGTATAAAAATCTGGGGGACAATACGGTCCAAGCATGCGAAATCTTTTCTTCCGGTTGCCGTCCGCGTCTCAAAAACGCGCGTGCTTAAGCTCCCTATTAACAGTAGGAGACACTCAATCTGAATATATCCCTTTACCATGCAGACTCGCCCGTTTTTCACACTTGGTTTAATTTCAACAGGGTAAGCTACCCACTGGACAGTTTTTCCCGCCTGCTGCAGAGCGTATGGCTGTAATAACTGCTGACCCGTACAAGGATGACGAAGAAAGTGATTTGGAAAAAGCTCCCCAGCAGCTGGCAGGATTTGAAGAGACTCCCGTGCACGCTTCGGACACGATGTAAAGTGAACTATTAATCATTATACAGTTTATGTTATACCGTAACTTGCAACTTGCAACTCTCAAACCACAACTAACAACTCGCAACTCGCAACTCGCAACTCGCAACTCGCAACTCGCAACTCGCAACTCGCAACTCGCAACTCGCAACGCGCAACTCGCAACTCGCAACACACAACACGCGACTCGCAACTCGCCACTCCACAACTCGCGTTCTTCTTACACTCATTAAAAACAAGTTATCTTGTGTAAAAGCAATCTCTAGTTAAAGACTGGAAGCCAAAAGCGTTCCAATCATTTTAAAAAATTCTTAACCAGAGAACTCTTTTGCACAAGACAATTTGTACAATCCTGGTTACTCCTCCATTATTAATTTAAAAAAGTTGTCACACGACTTGAAGAGCAGTTTGGAATGGCCACTGAAACATGATTCAGAAGAATCTTTACAGACATTTACTCTACAATGTTGACAAATTTGTCACTTTTCCCATTTTAGAGCTATATATTCAGCCACCTACTACGGAAAACTGGACGTTGGTGAGGTGAGACACATTGCGGTGCTGTTATTTTCTCTCCCTTTTTTTAATTTTATTTTGCCAGGGTGTTTGACTCGTAACACTTTGGTAGAGTTCCTTGTTACCGTAATGCGTAGAAGTAATCTCGAACCCAGACCTCCTACAGCCAAACGGACTAATACCTCATTCACACCAACATGGTAAACATGCTTAAAAGTTGTTTAACTAAACAAGGTTTAAAATTAGTTGCTTTCACTGTACACACCCCACAACTTAATAACGCAAAAACCTGTTTGGATAAAATATGTTAGCAAAGTGGTTTGAAATTTGTCTCCTTAGAATAACTGCACTGAAACCGTAATCGACAAATTGGAAAAAACTAAACCTGATTTAGTTGGTGTGAAAGGTGTATAAGATATGGGGACAACATTAGGGTAGAACAAAGTTTGGGGCGGGTTGCAATTGTGTTCTCTTTGGTGGGTAGTAAGAAGACGAATATTTTAACTGGGATAAAACCTTCTTACAAGTTATGACGTTGAAGGCAACAAATAATTACATTTATGAGTCAACAATGAACTACATTATGTCCAAACTTTTGTTTTAAAGGATGGCGGTGTAGCAGTGATAGAAGATTCCATTTTGGAAGTTTTGAAGCAAGCCAACAAACCCAGAGTATTATTTCTTAAACGTTTTAACAGTTTTTTTCATTATATTGAATTATTTTACCTGTTGATGGAATTACTTCCACTTTTGTCAGGCAGTAATAGGCCATTTCCGTATTACCTTTCGCCTCTTTCTAAAAGCGAGTCTTGGTGTCCATCCCTTCATATGAAAGTGAGATTTCATTCACATGCAAATTAACTCATTTTAATATGAATTGTTGTGCGCCAGGCCTCGCTTTGATAAAGACGCTTAGGACAACTCGGAAATGGGCCATTCTGTTATTGAGAAGTGCTTTGATTATTTAAATTTCCTTTTCTTTATAAGTGTCTTACACGTTTGTCACCAATTTTGTTTCTACAGGCTGTTTTGTTAAACCTCTCCGAGACGAACATCGTTGTTACTGACCAAGAGACGTCGAAGGTTTGAATTATTTAGCCGCAAAAATTTAAAATTGCAGAAAATTATATAGGCCACTAAACTGAACTAATTTTTGATCTTTTTGCCCGGAGTTCAATGCCTTCTTATTGTAGAAAAATTAGCGGATTGCCGTTGCGATGGAATGTTTACATATTTTTATGCTGGAAAACCCAGAGGTTAAGTTGATGTACATAGGCTTTCCTTTACAGGTTTTAAGTGTTCACTCATTCACTGAAACATCATCCTGCGGTCGGCGAGCAGACAGAAAAGAAATGATAGCTTTTGTTTCAGGGTAAGAAGATTCCCGTCCTCTACCTACCTGTCTGTTTGTCTGTATGTCTGTCTGTCTGTCTTTTGCTCGGTCTGCCTGTTTTTCTTTCGGTCTGTTTGTCAGTTTGTCAGTATGTTGGTCTTCCTGTACGTCTGTCGGTCTACCTGTGTCTGTCTGTCTGTTGGTCTACCTCTCTGTCAGTGTGCCTGTCTGTCTGTCTGTCTGTCTGACGGTCGGTCTGCTTGTTTATCCTTGTGTGTTTTGGTCTGTCTGTCTGTCTGTCCTTCTGTCGATCTGTGTGCCTGTCTCTACCTGTCATTCCGACACTCGAACGTAACGTTATTTGACCGGGTATTTTGTCATTTCACCTGACGTGTTGTGTTCATTCTTGCTGATCTTTCCTTTGCTATACAACACATCCCAAATGAAATAATTCTTTATCTGTTTTCAGGGAAACAACATGTACTTTGGCCAAGAGCTTTTACTGTTACGTGTTTGAAATGGCAACTGAAAGGATTGTAAGTTTTTCATGTTCCTAGACTATAAATGACAGTGGTAATTCAATTTCCATACTGACAACTTTCTGTCCTTGAATAACAATTGCCCGTCTGTTGTTCATTTCAGGCTAAGGTCGTTTTGTATAGTATAGGTAAGATATGTGAAACGTTTGATTTATTTGTCTTTACAATCCATGCACCTTATTATATTTCATGGTTTCGAGTTTGTTGTTCTTCAGGACGGTTTCTGTGAACTAAGAAACGCACTTGCCTTTTTTAATGTTGTGGCTGTTTGTTTGCCCTACAAGCAAAGCCCCTCGTATTTTCGTGTTTAGCTTGTGCTCCCAGCCTTGTTTCCAAGGCCTCACCATAGCCTTACGCCGTAACCCGCGAGAAAAAAGCAGATTGCACAATGGCCAAATGACCAACAACTATCAAAGCATTTTTTCACCCCAAAGCATTTTAAAACAGATAATACTATTAAAATTAAATACCAACTTTATTCTTTTTGCACTTTTCTAACAGCTGATGGCTTTTTACGTACAGTATGGTTCGTGTAAAGAGTTGAACAGGACTTAAGACAGGAGGAAATATTTCAGACTTGCTCAAAAATCAGATCTCTGTGGGAGCTGTTTCTACGCAGAATTCTTCCAGTGACCGATCTGGCCAGTGGTAGTACAAGAAAAGTCACCGTGACGTTTCTAATTTTACATGTCTAAAACCTAGTATTGCATGAGGATTGACTTATTCAATTCAACTAGAAGTAACACAGTAAATGGTTTCAACCCATAGAGTATCAGTAGTTCGTATAGTGTGATCGTCCAGGTGAGGGTGGTTCTGAAAAGAACTGTTGTTGATGACTGACGTTTCGACAACCTGAGTGAAAGTCGTCTTCGCGTGACTCTGAAGGTGACTTCCGCTCAAGTTGTTGGAACGTCAGTCACCAACCACAGTTCTTTTCAGAACTACCCTCACCCGGACGATCACTCAAGACGAACTATTAATTAACTAGAAGTATTTGTTGACCCTTTGTGATGGCTTGACGGACTCAAAATGTTGGGTCGATAAATTTAATTCACTTGAGACGAAGATAACCTGTGAGTACTTGCTTTGGCCATGCGCGACTTTTACTGAAAAATAACGAAGTCAGTCAGTGGTGAACAAGATTCACATTTATTGTCAAGATCAACTTTCAAATTATTTTTTGTGTTATTACTTGATCCCATGACTAGTTTGAATTTGTCAGATAAAGGCAGTGAGAATTTCTTATTTCATAACTGGTGTGGTAGGGTTTAAAATCAAAGCAGGAGACCAGAGATTCGGTAATAATTGTCCCCAGATAAACTGTTGTAACGTTTATATTCACGTTTCTTTCATTTTATAAAATGTAGTAACAATGTAGGCTTAAATCATTGATGTCAATTACAATTTTTGAAGACAACTTTCCTTTGTTAAATGTCAGCTAGGAGTATTTTGTTAAATATTATATGTTACTTTTATAGATGTTATTAAAGTATCTATCACTGTATTGTCATAACTACGTCATAATCAATAAACAATTTTACAAATTTCACAATAACCGACTCCTAAATCGATTTTTATTTTTAGGTCAGTGGTACGAGGCCTCCATCAAAAAAGAGTAATTTGTCTTTAATCTCATCAGTCTTAAAATGTATAACATCACAACTTTTTACCTCGTTAAGAACGACTCACACACGCATTTTCAAAAGTGTCCATGGGCTCAAAATCACCAAAGCAAGGGCTCTGAGATCGAGATTGTGACAGGGAGTACCATCTAACTCATGTTCCTGTTTTCAGTATCGAGTTTTCAGTATCCAGCCTATTGTTTCTCAAAACCAATAGCTCTGGAGACGAGAGTGGATCCAGCCTAAAAGTGTATTTTTCTTCACCCGAGTTAGAGGAACGTTTCCGAATTTCGACGAGCAGTGGTCGAATCGAGGTCAGGGTGGACAAGAGTGCTAGGAGTGAATCTAAATGTGCACCCCAAGCTTGCTTTGGTGATTTTGTTCCTAGGTATCGGAGGGGAATGAAGAAACGGTCTGCTTGTGTAATCGGAACAAAATTGAGAGTTAATGAGGAAATTCGTCCACAAGCACGTTAACGCTAGGTCGCGCGGCCACGTTTCAGATTATGCATATTGATAAAATGAACTAAATAACAGCTGCCAAAAAGGTAAAATCTAGAGGAATATCTAAACAAAATACTGGACAATCCGCCTATCTTTATTACCTTATTTGGTTATTTTCAAGCAAATAGGGCGACACTTTGTCTACAAAACTCTTGGTGAACGCTCGCACAATTTTAGCGGCGAGATATTTATTTTCGTACTGCGTGATTTGTATTCTTTACAAGGCGACCTGAATTCGGGACATTACAGCTAAGCAGTGTGAAACTTGTTTTATCACCCAACGTGGTGAAGTTTTTCGCAGTGTAACAAAATTTGTGTTGAATAAATGGTTGATACGAGTGTAATGATTCTGAAATGTCAAGAAGATTTTATACACCAGTTTGTTTGGTCTCTTGCCAACAGCTCTAGGCTACTACCATTTAATTTTTTTTCTATGAATCTTTTCTCTGGATAACTGCCTTCTCATTCAGATGGATTGTCTTGAGCAAATAAGATATGAAATCGGAACCTTGCCAGGTTGAAGTGGAAGCGTTTGGCAGCATGGCAAATTACTTCAGACACACCTGTTGAACGGTAGTTCCCACCGTCTCAAAACACTAATAACACGAGGCATTGAGGGCCAAAAATATCCTGGAAACGACGTAAAAGTTAACGCAACAAAGAACGATCATGGAGCGAGATGAGGCTAATTTGGTTTACATTCTTAAGCCTCGAGGGGAAAACCGATGAAAGGCCAGAAAGATATCCTTTATCTGAATCTATTCAGCCGGTGCTTTTTGCAGCGTTATACCCAGATTGATTTATATTGCCTTTTATTTACACCACATTAAAATCGATCAGCTAATCTGCGAATTCAAACTAAAATTGAAAATGAAAATGGAAATGAGGCACGTGGCAGAAATATGCCGAGGAACAATAAAAAATTGTGGCGGCCAGTGCGAGTATAATATGTAATTTCAGTTTCATTGTCTCGGTCAAAATTGTACCGTCACTCAAAAAGAATCAGCATTTTTTTGAGTCGTATTTTGTCTTGCAAGAGGGTTTTGTAATAGCTGTATATTGAAGGATGTCCGTGAGGTTTGTGTGATCGGATAAGTTTTAAAAATCGTCAACGTCTCACCTTAGCAATGTTAGCAGTACTTTTTCTCCTGATATGCTTTTTAAGACTATATGATTAATATCGTATAGTCAAACACACAGTAATTTAAATCTCATAGAAAAAAGAATTAACTCCATTTTAAAAGGTTTTTCTATTTTAACTGCTGTCGCTCTCGATAACGGTTATAACCTTTGTTGTTTGGAGCTTGATGTAAAATCTCATTGGTTAAATCACTAAATATAAATACCACCAGCTCTTCTTGCGATTTGATTGGTTAAAGCAATGTAATAATTTATTCCACTTGGAGAAACAGGTGAATTTCAGATTACAAAAGGAAATATATAAACAACGAAGGAACGGCCAGGCAAGATCAACGTTCTGAGAACTTTAATTTAACATGGAAGAATTCAAAGCTAAAACGAGTAAAGTAAGGCACGAAATTGACCAAGCGGAGGAACGGGAAAAATCCGCCATTAAAAAGCTGGCGTTCGCGAATTACGAAGCGGACGAAAAGGAGAAAGAAGTGGACGCCCTGAAGAGACGAATACGGCTGCTAGAAGGAAAATTAGATGCCGTCCAAGATCGCATTTTCGACAAAGAGAAAGCCTATCGCGAAGAGCTTGCTAGAAATGAGCGAGAAAACAGGCAGATCAAGATGTTGAATGAAGTGGAAGACGAGGATGAGCGAAAAATGGAGAAGCTCGAAGCTGCCATTAAACAATACGAAAAGTCAGCCGATTATAGCGAGAACAAGTGCGCGGAATGCTGGAGAAGACTGCAGACTGTGACTCGGGAGACAGAGCGATTTAGGGTCCGTTTAAGAGAAGCCGCGGAGAAACGCAACGAGCTGGAGGAGCAGAACAGGTTCGTGGGTAGAAATCTACGGAAATTAGCAATTTCCGAAGAAAAGCGAGGTGACCGCGAAGACGCGTGCGAAAATAAAATTCGAGAGCTCTGGCAGCGAAGGCGGGATGAAGAAATTCGCTGTGAAGCAGCGGATAGGACAATTGGAAGGCTTGAAGGCCAAATCTGCGACTTGAAGGACAAGATTTACGACGAACAACAGAAGATTTACGAAGTGAAATCAACGATGGATGAGGCTATGAACGGTTTGGGTCGTTTCTGAGGTATCCAGCGAATTATTTATCATATACACTAGAGCAGAAAAAAAGTCAATAGGGTAAACACAATCGATGTGAAACAAACGTTTGACGATTTAGTTACAAATCTCGCTTTAAGCTATTTTGATCTACGAAAATGTCGAATCAGCCGAGGTCAGTCACAGAAAATGAAACTGTTTTGTTAAGGCCAGTTTGTTGGAGTTTCATTTTGATTGAGAAATGAAATCTCTTGAGCGAATGGACGTGAATTTGCAGGGAAATCCTCTCCGCCTCATTCAATGACATTAATATTTACTGCCTCGTGTAGGAATAACCACAAGATATTAAACATTGTTATACTGTTGCTGGGCATATATACAGCAGTTTTTATTTAGCCGTCATAAATTGTCTCCTTTCTTAGCTTAGTTGTTACGAGTACACGCATTTAGGGTGAGGTGAAAATAAAAATTCATATTTTTGAATTTTCATCAAAACAATAACCCGAGGACGCTTTGTGTTTGCTTTTATACAGAAATGCAAATCTGTCTGTCCCAACACGTGTATCGCTTAACAATAAAATCAATAAGTGCTTGACGTCACGGATTTATTTGTCTTATACAATTTCAATTGACCATATTTTAAACGCTTTTCCAAACTTAATGAAAATATTTTTTCAGTAGACAGTCAATACAAGCAATTTACTTTTTAATGAGGCTTTCCAGGATTTTAGCCCCGCGTCTTTACAAGAATTGAAATTTACTGTATAAAATACATTACCATGGAAATTAATTTTCAATATGCATGAATTATTCTAGATCCTATCAGCATGGTAGATTTTCTGTCCGCTAGTCTCATTCTTCTGATTGAATTTTCTATCGGATTTGGCGCTTTCATATCAATTATTGGCCCGATTCCGTTAATGAGTACACTTGTACTCTCACAGTTCCTCTCTATGTATAAATGAAAACTAACGAATAAACTGCTAGCTAGGTGGCGGCAAGAGGGTGGGGGTGGTAACCCTGCAATGGAATATCAGTCCATCGGAAGTTGGGGGCGAGGGGTGGGTTAGAAACATTCCTAGTCGCAACAAGCTACGGAAACCGGAGATAAGCTTCAGGCCCCATTGGTCACTACGTTGACCTTATAGGGTCGAAGTTCTATAATATCAATCAAGTTAGTTTTGTTCATAGAGAAACTCAATTAATTAATCAGCAAGTTCTTAATCAAGCAACCTATTTTCTAGTTTTACTGCGCATGTTGGTTTGCTTATTCCAGCTGACCATTAAACATGCCTGTACCGTGATCTCGCTCTCCACACAGTGTTAATCTTAATCGAGACATTTTTAATTTGTAGCATTTCGCTTATGAACGCTATCTCGGCAAATAAAGCAGGGATTACGCAGAGACTTCTAGAAAGAACAACACGATAAATGAAAGAAATTAACCCTGAAAAATAGATACAGATAAGCCCGGGAGATAAGCCCATCAGACTCGGGTTTCAAATGCAGCTTTACATAGACATATGACTTTAAAAGACCTCTTCAATTATACGAGACGAAAAAGTAGAGCCACACCCGCAGAAAGGAAGTAAAATATTTATGGTAGACTGGCACAACGTGTAACATTTAATTTATCATTGAGATTCATCTGGTGTGTTGCCAGCGCCCATTGTTCTTTTGACAGCGTCCATTGTTTAATCTTGCCAGCTTTATTTGAGAAGAGTTATACCTGCAAGACGTCTTGTTTGTTTTTCTTCAACAGTAGTTTATATCAGCCCGAAAATCTCATTATTGAAAGGAAAAGCGACGGAATTCGAACAAAACTTTTTTACATTTTTTTTTCAACCAGTTAGTGATAAGGTTCTTAAACACATTNACAGTTCTTTTCAGAACTACCCTCACCCGGACGATCACTCAAGACGAACTATTAATTAACTAGAAGTATTTGTTGACCCTTTGTGATGGCTTGACGGACTCAAAATGTTGGGTCGATAAATTTAATTCACTTGAGACGAAGATAACCTGTGAGTACTTGCTTTGGCCATGCGCGACTTTTACTGAAAAATAACGAAGTCAGTCAGTGGTGAACAAGATTCACATTTATTGTCAAGATCAACTTTCAAATTATTTTTTGTGTTATTACTTGATCCCATGACTAGTTTGAATTTGTCAGATAAAGGCAGTGAGAATTTCTTATTTCATAACTGGTGTGGTAGGGTTTAAAATCAAAGCAGGAGACCAGAGATTCGGTAATAATTGTCCCCAGATAAACTGTTGTAACGTTTATATTCACGTTTCTTTCATTTTATAAAATGTAGTAACAATGTAGGCTTAAATCATTGATGTCAATTACAATTTTTGAAGACAACTTTCCTTTGTTAAATGTCAGCTAGGAGTATTTTGTTAAATATTATATGTTACTTTTATAGATGTTATTAAAGTATCTATCACTGTATTGTCATAACTACGTCATAATCAATAAACAATTTTACAAATTTCACAATAACCGACTCCTAAATCGATTTTTATTTTTAGGTCAGTGGTACGAGGCCTCCATCAAAAAAGAGTAATTTGTCTTTAATCTCATCAGTCTTAAAATGTATAACATCACAACTTTTTACCTCGTTAAGAACGACTCACACACGCATTTTCAAAAGTGTCCATGGGCTCAAAATCACCAAAGCAAGGGCTCTGAGATCGAGATTGTGACAGGGAGTACCATCTAACTCATGTTCCTGTTTTCAGTATCGAGTTTTCAGTATCCAGCCTATTGTTTCTCAAAACCAATAGCTCTGGAGACGAGAGTGGATCCAGCCTAAAAGTGTATTTTTCTTCACCCGAGTTAGAGGAACGTTTCCGAATTTCGACGAGCAGTGGTCGAATCGAGGTCAGGGTGGACAAGAGTGCTAGGAGTGAATCTAAATGTGCACCCCAAGCTTGCTTTGGTGATTTTGTTCCTAGGTATCGGAGGGGAATGAAGAAACGGTCTGCTTGTGTAATCGGAACAAAATTGAGAGTTAATGAGGAAATTCGTCCACAAGCACGTTAACGCTAGGTCGCGCGGCCACGTTTCAGATTATGCATATTGATAAAATGAACTAAATAACAGCTGCCAAAAAGGTAAAATCTAGAGGAATATCTAAACAAAATACTGGACAATCCGCCTATCTTTATTACCTTATTTGGTTATTTTCAAGCAAATAGGGCGACACTTTGTCTACAAAACTCTTGGTGAACGCTCGCACAATTTTAGCGGCGAGATATTTATTTTCGTACTGCGTGATTTGTATTCTTTACAAGGCGACCTGAATTCGGGACATTACAGCTAAGCAGTGTGAAACTTGTTTTATCACCCAACGTGGTGAAGTTTTTCGCAGTGTAACAAAATTTGTGTTGAATAAATGGTTGATACGAGTGTAATGATTCTGAAATGTCAAGAAGATTTTATACACCAGTTTGTTTGGTCTCTTGCCAACAGCTCTAGGCTACTACCATTTAATTTTTTTTCTATGAATCTTTTCTCTGGATAACTGCCTTCTCATTCAGATGGATTGTCTTGAGCAAATAAGATATGAAATCGGAACCTTGCCAGGTTGAAGTGGAAGCGTTTGGCAGCATGGCAAATTACTTCAGACACACCTGTTGAACGGTAGTTCCCACCGTCTCAAAACACTAATAACACGAGGCATTGAGGGCCAAAAATATCCTGGAAACGACGTAAAAGTTAACGCAACAAAGAACGATCATGGAGCGAGATGAGGCTAATTTGGTTTACATTCTTAAGCCTCGAGGGGAAAACCGATGAAAGGCCAGAAAGATATCCTTTATCTGAATCTATTCAGCCGGTGCTTTTTGCAGCGTTATACCCAGATTGATTTATATTGCCTTTTATTTACACCACATTAAAATCGATCAGCTAATCTGCGAATTCAAACTAAAATTGAAAATGAAAATGGAAATGAGGCACGTGGCAGAAATATGCCGAGGAACAATAAAAAATTGTGGCGGCCAGTGCGAGTATAATATGTAATTTCAGTTTCATTGTCTCGGTCAAAATTGTACCGTCACTCAAAAAGAATCAGCATTTTTTTGAGTCGTATTTTGTCTTGCAAGAGGGTTTTGTAATAGCTGTATATTGAAGGATGTCCGTGAGGTTTGTGTGATCGGATAAGTTTTAAAAATCGTCAACGTCTCACCTTAGCAATGTTAGCAGTACTTTTTCTCCTGATATGCTTTTTAAGACTATATGATTAATATCGTATAGTCAAACACACAGTAATTTAAATCTCATAGAAAAAAGAATTAACTCCATTTTAAAAGGTTTTTCTATTTTAACTGCTGTCGCTCTCGATAACGGTTATAACCTTTGTTGTTTGGAGCTTGATGTAAAATCTCATTGGTTAAATCACTAAATATAAATACCACCAGCTCTTCTTGCGATTTGATTGGTTAAAGCAATGTAATAATTTATTCCACTTGGAGAAACAGGTGAATTTCAGATTACAAAAGGAAATATATAAACAACGAAGGAACGGCCAGGCAAGATCAACGTTCTGAGAACTTTAATTTAACATGGAAGAATTCAAAGCTAAAACGAGTAAAGTAAGGCACGAAATTGACCAAGCGGAGGAACGGGAAAAATCCGCCATTAAAAAGCTGGCGTTCGCGAATTACGAAGCGGACGAAAAGGAGAAAGAAGTGGACGCCCTGAAGAGACGAATACGGCTGCTAGAAGGAAAATTAGATGCCGTCCAAGATCGCATTTTCGACAAAGAGAAAGCCTATCGCGAAGAGCTTGCTAGAAATGAGCGAGAAAACAGGCAGATCAAGATGTTGAATGAAGTGGAAGACGAGGATGAGCGAAAAATGGAGAAGCTCGAAGCTGCCATTAAACAATACGAAAAGTCAGCCGATTATAGCGAGAACAAGTGCGCGGAATGCTGGAGAAGACTGCAGACTGTGACTCGGGAGACAGAGCGATTTAGGGTCCGTTTAAGAGAAGCCGCGGAGAAACGCAACGAGCTGGAGGAGCAGAACAGGTTCGTGGGTAGAAATCTACGGAAATTAGCAATTTCCGAAGAAAAGCGAGGTGACCGCGAAGACGCGTGCGAAAATAAAATTCGAGAGCTCTGGCAGCGAAGGCGGGATGAAGAAATTCGCTGTGAAGCAGCGGATAGGACAATTGGAAGGCTTGAAGGCCAAATCTGCGACTTGAAGGACAAGATTTACGACGAACAACAGAAGATTTACGAAGTGAAATCAACGATGGATGAGGCTATGAACGGTTTGGGTCGTTTCTGAGGTATCCAGCGAATTATTTATCATATACACTAGAGCAGAAAAAAAGTCAATAGGGTAAACACAATCGATGTGAAACAAACGTTTGACGATTTAGTTACAAATCTCGCTTTAAGCTATTTTGATCTACGAAAATGTCGAATCAGCCGAGGTCAGTCACAGAAAATGAAACTGTTTTGTTAAGGCCAGTTTGTTGGAGTTTCATTTTGATTGAGAAATGAAATCTCTTGAGCGAATGGACGTGAATTTGCAGGGAAATCCTCTCCGCCTCATTCAATGACATTAATATTTACTGCCTCGTGTAGGAATAACCACAAGATATTAAACATTGTTATACTGTTGCTGGGCATATATACAGCAGTTTTTATTTAGCCGTCATAAATTGTCTCCTTTCTTAGCTTAGTTGTTACGAGTACACGCATTTAGGGTGAGGTGAAAATAAAAATTCATATTTTTGAATTTTCATCAAAACAATAACCCGAGGACGCTTTGTGTTTGCTTTTATACAGAAATGCAAATCTGTCTGTCCCAACACGTGTATCGCTTAACAATAAAATCAATAAGTGCTTGACGTCACGGATTTATTTGTCTTATACAATTTCAATTGACCATATTTTAAACGCTTTTCCAAACTTAATGAAAATATTTTTTCAGTAGACAGTCAATACAAGCAATTTACTTTTTAATGAGGCTTTCCAGGATTTTAGCCCCGCGTCTTTACAAGAATTGAAATTTACTGTATAAAATACATTACCATGGAAATTAATTTTCAATATGCATGAATTATTCTAGATCCTATCAGCATGGTAGATTTTCTGTCCGCTAGTCTCATTCTTCTGATTGAATTTTCTATCGGATTTGGCGCTTTCATATCAATTATTGGCCCGATTCCGTTAATGAGTACACTTGTACTCTCACAGTTCCTCTCTATGTATAAATGAAAACTAACGAATAAACTGCTAGCTAGGTGGCGGCAAGAGGGTGGGGGTGGTAACCCTGCAATGGAATATCAGTCCATCGGAAGTTGGGGGCGAGGGGTGGGTTAGAAACATTCCTAGTCGCAACAAGCTACGGAAACCGGAGATAAGCTTCAGGCCCCATTGGTCACTACGTTGACCTTATAGGGTCGAAGTTCTATAATATCAATCAAGTTAGTTTTGTTCATAGAGAAACTCAATTAATTAATCAGCAAGTTCTTAATCAAGCAACCTATTTTCTAGTTTTACTGCGCATGTTGGTTTGCTTATTCCAGCTGACCATTAAACATGCCTGTACCGTGATCTCGCTCTCCACACAGTGTTAATCTTAATCGAGACATTTTTAATTTGTAGCATTTCGCTTATGAACGCTATCTCGGCAAATAAAGCAGGGATTACGCAGAGACTTCTAGAAAGAACAACACGATAAATGAAAGAAATTAACCCTGAAAAATAGATACAGATAAGCCCGGGAGATAAGCCCATCAGACTCGGGTTTCAAATGCAGCTTTACATAGACATATGACTTTAAAAGACCTCTTCAATTATACGAGACGAAAAAGTAGAGCCACACCCGCAGAAAGGAAGTAAAATATTTATGGTAGACTGGCACAACGTGTAACATTTAATTTATCATTGAGATTCATCTGGTGTGTTGCCAGCGCCCATTGTTCTTTTGACAGCGTCCATTGTTTAATCTTGCCAGCTTTATTTGAGAAGAGTTATACCTGCAAGACGTCTTGTTTGTTTTTCTTCAACAGTAGTTTATATCAGCCCGAAAATCTCATTATTGAAAGGAAAAGCGACGGAATTCGAACAAAACTTTTTTACATTTTTTTTTCAACCAGTTAGTGATAAGGTTCTTAAACACATTTAATTCTAATTGAATTTATAAGGAATTCTATTTTTTAAAGCTTGACAAACTCGTTCCTTCGATTCAGTGTGCTTATGAGCTTCAATTTACATTTTTACGACCTGTAAAGATTTGCAAATAAAAGAGACAACTTTAGAAAAGCAAAGTTCTTGTTTATATTAAGTCTGATTTATTTTCCTTCCGTTTGACATCTTATTTTTCAGTCCTTGTACATTTTTAGACTTATAATTTTTCAAATGAATTCTAATAGATTATTGTTCTTGCGACTGCCAATCATCTACCTCCCTATGGATGCATTTGTGTCACGTGACTTAATGATGATTGACGTGAAACGAAATGATGAAGTCTACTTTTGGAATTTTAAAGCAAAGCGTAAATTAGTGTCAATCTGAGTGCTTACATTATTTTGCTGAACTAGACAGCACTATAAAGAAAAAAAAAAAATCTGATATTCAAAATGGTATTTGGAGTTATTGGATTTGGTCTGACATCAACTGCACTATTGATCACGTTTGCCAAATACTTCACAAAGGATTGGTTTGGTTACTTTATGTTTGGCCTGGTGCTTTTCGAAGTATGCATGTTTACATTGACAAAGGGGAAGAGAGTGGAACCAGAGAGGCCTCCAACAAGAACTGAGAAGAGTACTTCTAACAGACCATCACCATCTGCCTCGCCTAGTAAACCTGGATCGCCTAAAGGCTTAAATCCCTCCCCGAAGAGACAAGCAGGTCAGAATAAACCAGAGAAGGCAGCCGAGAAGACTGCGAAGAAGGCTGAGAAGGCACAAGCCAAGGAAGCGAAAGCCGAAGCTAAGGCGGCCGCTGCCGCTAAATAGACATTTAGTTGTCAAAGCCTGTAATGAGGCTGGTGTTGGTTGTTTTTTATTTCCTGATTTGTTTCTGATTTTGCGACAAGCAATGGTGACTTTTAACGAATGAAACGATTTGATATCGAGCAATGGAGAACGATGACTTTTATATCGCTGGATGAAGAGCCTTTTGGAATATTTGATGATTTATTTATATAGTATTTAGGAAAACGAATCCGGGTTTTATGTTACCTAGATTTATATATAAAACTAATGTCGATAACTGAACTGGGTTTAATAGTTTTCGAGCCTAATTTCGGCAAAACTTAAGTTGAATACACCTATTTTTTCTGTTGTAATATTTAATTTGTTATATAGCCGTTTAACTCTTAGCAACTTGGCTCAAGTGCTTGTTAAAGTATTAAATATTTAAAGCACGATATTGTTTTAAGCCCTGCCTTATGTAGCAGTAAACTAAAACAATGTCTATATTTTAATTTTTTCTCTCAGTCCTAGCTCAGTAACGCAGTGTTTTGGATGTTAGAAGCGAGTTTAAATGTTAATAAACTTTAATCAGATGCTTTTGGTATCCGCCCTTAGTACTTTGCGTCAGAGAGTCTGAATAAGGCTGCCAGAATCTCAATTATCAATTAAATTCTCGGTGAGTTCTCAACCTTCTGTTATAATTTTAGCCCATTTCTCAACCATGCTGTCAGCTATCCGTGTAATTCAGTGCAGATTTCAGATCTTAACTACCAGTTGAAAAACGCGTCATTTCTCAGCTGACCGTTAACACTTTGACCAATTCTTAGTTATCAATTAATTCTCATCCAGACATCATTTCAGTTAAGAAATTTTTTTCCATGGGCTGGTTTAAGGTAAACTAAGCTGGTTTTGCAAAATGTTTTAACAGGGTTTTTTTGCACAGGGCAAACGCTGTTTTGCATGTCAAATTAACAAGATTTAAACATTTCAGTTGCTTAAAAATGTCACTTTATAACAGGTGGCTGCATTGTGATAAGCACGAGAGCAACACTTCGTTGACAAGTTTTCATTTGCAAGTCTGTATAGAAAAACAGGACAAGCCTCGCAGTTTTCTTTAAAAGCCACTCTCCTATTGCACTGTTAAGTTCCATAGTATGGTAGTTTTTCAATAAGAATTGCAATGCATAGCCACCTTACGAAAAACTACAATACTTGCCAAGAAAGATTGTCACGTGTCTACACAGGCACATGCAGAAACTTGTAAAGGACAATTAAACTTGCCTGTGTGCACTTTCACGTGCTCTATACGACGAGTTGCTTTGATCTGTTTTGCTATCTTGCTTGTCTCAACTTTTTCTTCTTTCTTCACCTAAAGAGCGCAAAATTCTTTAACTGCTCTACTGCGCTACCTAACGTTCTACTACAACTGCTAAAACATGTTGCTTCCACAAATATGTGAGCAAATGCCGGGGTCTACCTGTGATAGATATAAAACATAATCAACTGCTCGGCCAGCAAAAGTTTGAAACGCCTGCAAAATGGGATTAGATGTTAAGTTTAGCGACAGACTTGAAAAGAGAAGTGTTTATTTCTTTAATTAAGTTTCCCTACTCAAATAGGCGCCCTATAGAAATAAAATCATGAAATTAAAAATGCAAAGGCAGCAACGAATTATGAAGCGAGAGAAGGCGGAGGTACTCTACGTTTCTTACCGTAAAAAAATCCATAAAAATGAAGCTGGTCAAATCAGAGAGATAGACAAAGAAAAACTGACTGAAATTTTAAGCAAAAGACAGATTCATATTTAATTTATTAGAGCCCCCAAATGGTAAACAAACATTTAATTCCCACACCAGCTAAACACCAGCATTGCTCATTCATAAGCTATAATTAAAATCGGAGAAATTAAAATGATTTTCTGTATCTTCATGTTTGGAACACACACATAAGAATAAAAAATATATATATACTGGATAACTCAGTTCCATGCTAGCATTGATACGAGATGTACTTCATAGAAAGTATACAAGTTCACAGACCAAATGGTGGTTTTAAATAAAACAAAGCGCGTATTATCCAGCTTAGAAAATGGCTAATTATTTTAAAGAGCACATTTGTTGCAGGTGTTTGCAAAATATATTTGAAGTGCTCAACAGGATGCTGGACAGTATACAAGACCACAAGAAACAAAGTCCCTGTAAAGGAACAGATCTTCGGTCAGAACTCAGAAGAGCTATGCATATGGACGAGAGTGCGATATCAATTCTTCTCATCGAATGAAGTCACTTTGTTTCTTCGCTGCCAAAGAAATAAATTTAGCCTTCAGGATTAAAAGCTCGGACAGCAAGAGACTCTAGAATTTTTACAGAAAAAGAAACACAGAGTAAACTTTACAGAGCAAGATACAAAACTACGGTTTATGTTAAACGCTGCTTTTGTTTTCGTTTAAGCCGCAAAGATGTCCCTCGTTGGCCTGGTTGCCATTTTCATTTTCGCCATCCTCTCCGCGCTTCTGTGGTCATACGGATTGGAGATTTTCACGAAATGCGTCAAATTTATCTTGCTTACCATATTCAAAGTAATCAAGCTCATTTTGTTTGGAAGGAAAAAGAACACCGAGGAAGCCGTAACTGAAGCCGACAAGAATAAAGAAAAGACTAGTTGAAGAAGCAAAAACTTGCCCAAAAGCTCGCGTATATGGAATATTACTGACGTTGTTGATTCTGGTTATGGTGGCATTGAGCGTACCTAAAATTCCTTTCGTATTTGTGAAGACTTTCTACGTACTGGTGTGCGAGGACTTCAAATCGCAACTTTATAGGCTAGTTTATACTCTCTCCTTCAATTTTTTAACTCAGTCAGTTTATAATTTTTATTTCTTCACTTTATGTAAGTAGGGAAGTTGCTAGAAGTCAGCTTGTGTACTCGAAACTACGGTTTATTTGTTTTTGGGTGTGGCTCTTGCAGGTATTTGGACTTTGATCATTTTCATTAATTCTTGTCAAGGTGAAACTGCGGGTTGATCGCTTATCGGAATTAAAGGATTTTAAAATAAGACATTGGTGATGCTTTTGATGATAAACAGTCCTTCGCGGTCATTTGAAGGTTGTACCTTTCTTTCGTCGTTTTTTCGTTACTATTTTCACAGATGGGTTAAAAAGTTCTCATGAAGTGTTTTGTTTGGGAGTCAGCGTTGATACAATACCACGGATATCTGTGTAAGCCAAATACAGTCCTTAAAATATTGGCACTGATATAGAATTCTCTCTCTCTCTTTGCTGTGCAAGGACACATTCACTCCCCATTAAATAGCGAAGAATGCTTCTTTCCTTCATTGAGAAACAAAACTTCCAAAACTAACAACAATCTCGTATTTACCGTTTTTTTAAGTTTTAGTTCAGGACCAAAACCTTATTTCTCCTTACTAATTTCCCCACGCTCCTTTCAAAGCCAGTTCTGAGAATTTTGTAGTACATTAACATACCTTCCCAAGTTTGATCATTTTTTCCATTCTCCTAATCTGTCTGTTTGAAAATGCGTCGAGAGTGTAAAGAGAAATGTGATGTTAATCTCGTTTGGAACTACTAACGGCGTTTATCTTTCCTTTTTGAATACGAATTGATTCAGTATTAGGGTGCTTACCATTAATTTTAGCCAAAGAAGTCCGTAAAATTTCGGTTGAAAGTCATGTGAAAATTTCCTGAAAATTTGATCGGTAACTGTAGACTTTAGGTGTATACTCCTCTTTTACCGTTCGAAATGGGACGTCGGAAAATTTCCATATCATTCGCTCTTTTCTCCAGTTTTCACTCTTGTAATAAAATAATAAAATGATAAAATAAATGCTATATTTATACTGGAAGGAACCTTTAGCGATGACAATAAGATAACATATCAATGATAAGCCCCATATCTTTCGGTTGATCTGCTTATTTTGGAAAAAAACACGAAGCAGATCACTCAACCGCAATCATATCCATAACGCTTATGATCGTTAAAAAGCAAAGAAACGTAGTCATGGAGTCGAAGTGCTTAATTTGTAAATGCCTTCTGTCATGAAATTGAATCCATAGGTGTACTAATACGAATCTGAAAATAATATTCTCTAAACCAGACAGTTCGTTACCACTAGCCAATGTGTTGCAATAAAACTCTCTAATAAGTATCTTATAACATCTATATATCTCTTGTTTGCGTCGAAGATCGTGACAGATCAAATTCCCAGTATGCGATGTCTAATGCGACCCTTCGTTTTGACCGCATGCTTGGTAACTGAGCAGCCATTTAAGATCTTGCCGTTGGCCATAAATTGTTATTTCAGAATCCTTTGTCTAGCATCTTAGGCACTTTTTGTTTTGCTTCAAGGCTGTACAGGACAAGAGCGGAGACCTTTAAGAGCTGTACTCATGATAACATAGGCCACAGTTTGCCCTTTGCTTAACATTTTGTCAAATTGCCACATTAGTGTCTTTTCGTATTCATAATAATTATGCTTGCCTGAAATGGCTACAATACAATTTCTGTCAGCGAAATTAATTAGCGTGTTTTGGAGGGCATTAGCATAGTTATTAAAACTTTCCCTGACAAGAAAAGCAACGTGCAGCCATGGGAGATGAAGGAGCAACGATAATACTTTATTTATTACATTACATTTACGTTTTCATTTTACGCTATATTTTACAAAATTCCAAAAAAGCATCGACTACCACGTTAAAATAGACATTCCTCAAGTCATTTGAGTAGACAGAGAAATTTTCAGGAAATTAAAATTCAACAGTCTTGGCCAATTTTTTTCCAATTTTTTTAAGTTGGCAATGGAAACATATCGTTTTCATTTTTTTTCCTGTTTGTTCTCTTGCATAATTAACAAGCGTCAAAATAAAACGAGATATGATGCTGGTGGTCTTTTGTCCATTGATTGTAAACTTCTGGCAGGTCGTAACTGCTCAGGTTGTATGGTATTTTAATAGCGTGCCATCTGTACTTAACGGCTTCCATTTACACCGTTAACAACAACCAACGCTTCGTTTCATCGCGGTTAATTCTTAGCGATCAGCTTAACCACACGATGGTCGGACCACCAGTGATCGAAGGATCTTTGAAAAACACGATCCACTCGCTCGCCTTTGGCTTGATATGTGCCACACTTGCGGTGAACTTCGGCAAATATTTTGTGCCTCATTTTTTCCCATACATGGTGGGAATTTTGATCGCCATTGAGGTGGTTTTGTTCTCGTTCGACAGGCCAAAGGAAAATTATGATAAGTACCAAGTCCTAGGCATAAAGGGTGCGCACTCTATTGAAGGAGCTGGCTCACCGCAGATCATGGTCTCCGCGCCCGGGGAAGACTCTGAAGCTTCGCCTAGGAAACAGCACAGGATCAAAGATAAGTTGAAGACCAAGAAAGATCAGAAGGGACGAAGGGAAAGTGGCGTGCCCGGCTCACCCAACGTGAGACGAGAGAGTGGCGTGCCTGGCTCACCCAAAAGACAAAGTCTTGCTCCACCATTGAGTCCGGGACAAGAAGCGATGGAAGCCATGGGCGACATGGAGCAAGAGAAAGGAGGAAAAGACAAGACCGAGAAGGAGAAGAAAAAAGAGGAAGACAAAGCGAAAAAGAAAGAAAAAGGAGAAGAGAAGGAAAGACAGAAAGCTGAAAAGAAAGAGCTGAAAGAAAAGGCAAAGGAAGAGGATGCGGAAAAAAGCGAGAAAAGCGGCTGGAGAAAACGCAAGCCCACTAAACAGGACACTATATAATTATGCCAAAATCACCCGTGACTTGTTTATTGTACCTGTTATCGTTATAGCTGGATATGGACAGAAAATATGTAGTGAAAAGAATAGAGCCAATTTCAAGAAGCTAAGACGAAATGACATGAAACTTCTTTTAGTTTCACCGTACTGAGTAACTGTTTTGTCTGAAATACGCACAGGCTTTGTAAAACACGAACCTTATAGTTTAGAATTATTAGCGACAATAACTCATCTTCACCTTTTGAATTCTAGCCATTTATAATGCATGACAACGCCTTGCTTAAGTCTCCGTGCAACAAATTAAAGAGAGATACCTAGTAGTTGTTACTCGCAGGTTCGCTTTTAGTAAGTGATTTATAACAACATAAAAAGGGTTTTGTTGCAATACAAATAATTGACCATTTTCTGGTAGGCAGAATATTGATTCACGATATTATGCTGTGTAAACACCTTCCATTTTAAAAATTAATGTGGGTATCTTCTAGTAGAAGGATAACAAACTTCATGGTCTAGCTCAGGACTACTTTGTAACTATTAGCTATGATTTGACAACACGAATGCATGAATGTTAAAGCCCTGTCAAATGAGCGCAACATGTCAACGCAACATATTACGACACTGCTGTACACAACATGTTACCACATTTGGTTATTCTGGTGCAATATTTTGAAATATATTGGATGGTGCACGTGCAATAGGGTGGAAAACGTGTGCAACATGTTTTGTGCATGCAATAATGTTGAGTTTGGCCGGGCCTTTAATTTAACAATGTCTTTCCCCAAATAATGAATGCAAAGAACATTAGATGTAACTGAAACTAATTCCTGGCAAAGTAAATAAACATCAAATCGTCAAGATATGTCGCATTTACCACAAACATGTTTCTTTCCTAGTATTACGCTGGGCATTCTTGCTGCGCATAATCACGTGCTTAAGTAGGGCGCGCACAATTAAAAAAATAGTTGCTTTTTCTTTACGGGTTAGCTCATCAGAGAGAAAAATGGGGTTGTTTTCTCGTAATCGAACACGGCGAACGATCATTTTTTTTCAAGTCTAGCACTCACCATATTTCCATAAAGTGAATAAGCAAGGGGACGTGTAAATATAATTGTCGTCTCGACCACGCACGCTAACGTTAACAAGAAGGTGGATCATTGTCTTTTGAAGATTTGCCTTTATCATAAATCGTAAACACTCTTTTTCCTTGGCCATCGTAGCTTTAGAAGAAACAAAACACAAACCGCGGTGATAAACATGGAACCAAAACGCATGTTAAACAA